TGTTCGGTTTTGTGTGATTAGAAAGTTGGCAACCCTATGTAAGGATATGTGATATGCTCGTGTGACCCAGGATTCCATCTTATGCCAGTAACTTTCCACAGACAAGGGCTGTAGGCTTTGTTTGGGACAGTAAAATTCCAAGCACATGGCAGAGGATATAAAAGATCCCTGGAGTGACTCCATTTTGCCTCTTTCCTGCCCTGAGTCTCTTGACTGTGGATTTACAACTAAAAGGAGCATCTTGAACTAAGGACTGAGGACCGTCCAATCTTTTGGAACTTACTAGAGACTTTACAAGCCAGCAGTCTATAACATGACTAGTACAAACCTGAAATAAGAACATTACCATGAGTGTATGTATATGATCTATTAACCACTTAAACTCTTTTTCTTTTCTCTTATTAATCAACCGTTAGTTTTAGTTACTAAAGGATTGGCAACAGTGTGATTATTGTGTGAGATCTGAGTTATACATTGACCTGGGCGTGTGGCTGATTTCTTGAGATCAGAAGACCCCTTGGTTGATAAAATTGGTTTTCAATAACCACTCATCATAAAGTCTAGTGTCTGGGTGGTGAAATAAGGGCTGAAATGCCTAAGGAGACTGAATTTTTAACTTTTTGTCTATTTATGTGGTGAGACAGAAGCTTATTTTTGTTATTGGCTTGGTATAATCAGTACCGGGTTTACAATGGCACGGGGCCCACACCAGCGCCCTGACTGTGGCCCCACCCCTGCTCGGCCTCTTCCCGAGACCCAGCCCCCACTCCACCTCTTCCCCCTGGGGCCCCACCATTGTTCTGACTTTTCCTGCCCCTGTTCTACCTCTTTCCTGAGGCCTCACCCGCCACTCACTCCTCTCTGCTTCCTCCCAACCCTGTCGCTCGCCCTTAAGCCAGGAAAAAAGTGATGGCTCCATGGCCCCCTGTGCCCCCCTGTTGCCAGGTGTCCAGTTTTTGACCAGAAAGTCTGGTTGAAAAGCAAACCTGGCAGTGTCCAGTCAACACTGCTGACCAGACACTAAAAATCCAGTTACAGGAGTAACTACAATCAGCTTCCCCGCCAGGAGGGTGGGAAGTGCAACTGCTGCAGCCTGGAGGAGCTGTAGCTCAGCTGGAGAGAGAGAGAACTGGCTCCCAAGGATTCCGATCTGGTGGAGAGAGGTAGGTACTAGCTCTGCGCTGCCCCCGCGGGATCCTGTCCACCCCCTCACCCCCACCCCGCTGTGCTTGTTCCTGGCCCCTGCCTCACTCTGGGGACCAACCTGGGCAGACCCCTGCCAGTCCAGAAATTAAGGAATAGTGATAGATGAAGGCAAAATAATAATAATAATAATCCCCAAATCCCTAAACCACCTTCTGCAGTGCAGTAAGAAGAGCATTCGATATGTCTTTTCTATTGTTACTGGAAGTTGTGCATTTTATCCTCTGTGCAGATATTGAAATCTCAAGGATTTTCATTCTAATCCTGCTCTGGTATGTACACAACATAAGGCTTTGTTTTATAATGTTACTGTTATGTAGAGTTTGTTACCATGTCCAGAAGTCTGATTTCTGGATGCCAAAGAGATTAAACACTATTTTATTTATCAGATTAAGACATTATTTAGTAATAAATGTAATTAAGATCTGGCTTTAGAAAATGCCATGCTCTGAGCGGTCAAAAATTGCTTGCAAGTAGGAAGGACCAAATAAGGCTCATTTATGGGGAAAAGTTTCATGCACATTTATGCCTGCATTTCTTGGAAGTGGATTAAGTGATTAAGTTTTCTTGTTTGTCAGAAAAGAAGTGATGGACATATAAAGGCAAAGCATACAGTGACTTTGTTCACTTTGCTTAAATCCATGGGAATGGAGGGAGGGAGAGCAGTGAGTGGCAGGACCTTGGGATGGGGGGAAGAGGCATGGTGGGGGGAGGTTCCAGTGCTCCTTCTGTGTCCCATGGGGGCCCACAAATATGTTTGGCGCCAGGCCCACAAAAGGCTAATCTGGCCCTGGCTATAGTCTAATGATAGACTAACCACCAGTTTGCAGTGACTCTGCCCTGTTTCTCAGCAGTTTGTCCTGAATCTGGCATTCTCAGCTGTGACCCACTGAGGCACAGTGACAGGGAGACTCACCAGAGTTTACTTGTGGTAGGAGGAGATGGGGGGCAGGGAGACTCACCAGATTTCCATGGGGCAGGAGGAGGCGGCGGTTGGGGGACTCCACTGCAGCTCCATGGGGCAGGGTTTCTGTGGGGCAGGAGGAGGTGTGGGAAGGGGGGACTCACCAGGATATACTTATGGTAGGAGGAGATGGGGTTCAGGGGGATTCACCAGGGTTTCCATGGAGTAGGAGGAGGTGGAGGGTAGGGGGTCTCATCAGAGTTTCTGTGGGGCAAGAGGAGGTGGGGGACAGAAGGGACTTCACTGCAGCTCTATGGGACAGCGGAAGGGCTGGGGAGGGCAACTCACTAGGGTTTCTATGGGGCAGGAGTAGTTGGGGGGCAGGGAGGACTCACCAGGGTTTCCATGGCGCTGGAGCAGGAGGTGCCGTCACTCACTGACAGAGGCTCACACCAGATCCCCAGTGATGGGCTCTCAGCTCCCAGCCCCTCTTTATAGCCTCATTTCCCACCCCCACCCTGCACTGGGGGTGGGGCCGTTTCGACTCCTGCTGACCCCGTGCCCAGTACATGGGAGGTGGCACCAGGTACCACTCAGCTGCTTCCTGCTTCATTCAATATTGACTTTAAAGGAATCTCCATGGGGCTGAGCCAGAAGGGGTGGAGGGGACAGCAGCAGGGACCCCCCCCTCCAGGGTGGCAGGGGTCACCCCGGTACTATCCCCAGCTCCAAGGCGGTAGGCGGTGGGGCTGGTGAAGCCCCCTCAAAGTAGTGGGTTGGGAGCAGTGCTTCTGCCCCACTTAAATGCAGGGGGCAGCTCCCCCATCACAGCGACTGGCTCAGGCTCTCAGCAGACTCAGGCAGTGTCGCTGTGTCGGTAACACCCTGGGGAGTACCCCAGTCTGGGAGTGATCTGCCCAGGGAAGCTCTGTTTCCAAATGCCTCATTCCGGCTAACACTGGCTCACTAGGGGATTCGTGGGCTGTGACAGACATGGTGCCCTGTGCTCTGGCTGGTTAGGAGCACTGGGGAGGAGCAGCAGCACCCAGCAGGGGGCACCATGTGGCACTGGCTACCATCCCATCCTGGCTCTGCTGGGCAGCTGCTGGCAGGGGTCCCCATACACTGACCCCTCTGTGGGGCACACGTGGGCCGAGCCCCTCCTCCTTTGGGCCGGACCCCAGCCTACCTGAGGACAGGGGGTGGGGGTGGAGGGGAGCGGTGCTGCAGAAAACAGCTTGTGTGGGTGGCCACGGACCAGGCAGGAAGGGACAGGGTGTCCCGGCCCCACAGAGTGGGTGCTCCACCCCAGCTTTTAACCAGTGTCTTGGAGTAGCCCCTGCCTGTGACCTTGCTCAAACTGGGGTCTCTGCTCAGCTCCTCTGCAGAGAGGTGGGGGACACCTCCTTCCTCTGGGTGGCTGGTTCCAGGGGTGTGGGCAGGGGATGTGCCTCTCATTGGGCTTCCCATTCTCTCTCTGGGACTGTGCATGGAGATGGGATTGCTTTGGGCAGATTCCTTAATGACCCCGTTCATTGCTGCCCAGCCAGCGAGGCGCCTCCCACCCCTCATGTACTGGGCTGTCCCTGAGAGCAGGCTTAACCCTGTTGCCCTCATGGGTAGCAATGCAAAGTACAGAGGGAAACTGAGGCACCCATAGGATTAATAAAAATATTACAGAAAATTCCCACTGTGTCATATGGGGTGAGGGACTGGAACTGTGTGAGCTTGAGTGGGGCAGGACGTTGGGGAGCCCTGGGTGCAGGGGCAGGTGCCTTCTGTACTTGATACAGGAAATGGGTAGGTGGGAAGAAAAGGCCGGGGAAGGGACCAGCCCAGGATCCCAGAGCTGGTGAGCGGCAGAACCAAGGAAAGAACCCAGGTGTCTTGACCCCCAATCAGGTGCTCTACCCACTAGGCCACACAAGCTACTCCTGGAGGGCTTGGGGTCTAGGGCAGCTCTTGAGACAGCTCCCAGCTCTTGCTCTCCATCGCTGTCTCTACGCTTCTCCTCTGGCTGTGGGGTCCAGGATCTCCCACATTCCTGGAGCCCGTCATTCAGCCCCGAGGTGCCCAACCCCAGTGCAGATGGATTTATGGCCCAGGACAGGCAGAGTGAACAGGCTGCCGCACACCCCACCCCTGGGGAACATGCAAAGCAGGGCACATCCTGGCAGCCCCACCATGGACATGTCCGGAGACGACTCTAGCGGGTCAATCCCGGCTGTGTTTGCCGACGTGGCACATGCGTGCGGGAGCTGGGAAGGGGCGTCTGACTCCCGGCAACGGGCCAGGCCCCGGGCTGACGTTACTGGATCAGCGGTGAGTAAAGAGAGGGGATTCTGCTCCTCTTTATCCCACCGAGCTCTGCCCATGTTCAGGCCATGCAGCTTCCCTCCCACCGCTTCGGCCTCCCCAGCACGGCCTTCTGAGGGTGTTTGACCCCCAGAGCAGAACTCCCCCAGGAATAGGGGTCAGTCTCTGTCCCATGGCCCCACTCAGAAGCTCCCTGCCCCTGGCCAGGCTGGCCTCATATGGAGACATCCTCATTCCAGAGGGGATGGGCCAGCACCTAAGGATCCTTCCAAAGCCAAGGCCCTCACGTGCCGGCTGGATAGCTCTCCCCACGCTAGTCCTCGCTGAAACACCAAGCACCCCCTGGCAGGGCAGCGTCTGGGATTGGCCCCTGGCCGGCCTCTCAGGCATGGTCAACACACAACACAACACACAACACATCCTGGGGTCAGGATGCTTGGCCCAGGCCATCACGGAAATAAACAGTTCAGCCCCTTCCTCTCGATTCTCCATGCCTGGGCCCATGTCTCCGGCTGGCAGTGCCGGTGGGTGTTGTGGGGGGTGGACCAGGAATAATTACTTAGCAAAGCCCTTGCAATTTCCCCAGGCAGTCACCGGACAAGAGCCAATTCCCTGTTGTCTCTGAGCAGGTCCTGCAATAAAATAGAATTCTCTAGAATCCGGGCTGAGCTGGGTGCCCCGGATTTACCGCCTGTGCGAACGCCCTGACAGCTGCTCCGTCTCTGCAAACATTCCCCAGAACTCAGGCTGGGCTCGGGTTAAACTGAACAGTTGATTTACAGCTGGTTCCAGCCTCTGTCGGCAGAGACCTGGCTTCTCCCCCTGCCACCCACAGCCCAGGACGAGCGCCTTCCGCTCCCTTAGCCTGACAGCATGTGGCAGACAAGCATCCCCTCTTGGGCCCAGCCCCTGCAGCCAGGAGTGACCCCTCAGATTCCTCTATAGCTTAAACACCCCTCTTGGAGAGCTCTACGCAAAGGTGGGAGCCCCGGGGGTCCCTCTTCATCGGCCCACCTGGGAGGTGTATCACACACACACAGACACTTTACACAGATGTCTGACACAGACCTACCCACTGATCCGGGCTGAGCTGGGTGCCCCGGATTTACTACCTGTGCCATCGCCCTGACAGCTCCTCAGCTGTTTGGCGCCGCAAGCCTGGGAGGGGAGGAGAATTAGAGCGGGGGCGGCGTGCTTGGGGAGGAGGCGTAGGAGAGGTGAGCTGAGGTGGGGAGCGGCCACACAGCTCCCCGGGCCGGGGCTGGGGTGGGGAGCTGCTGCGGGGGGCCTAGTTCGCCTTAATGGTAACACCGGCCCTGTCTGACACAGACCTACCCGTTGATCCCAACCTGATCTGCGTTCCCCTGTCTCAGTTTCTTCCCTGCTCTGGGCTGGAGCTGTCAAGAGCCACCCCTTCTGCTGCCATGCACAGCTTGTGATCTGAAACACGAGGCCTTCTCTAGCCCAGCTGGCCTGCAGTGCCCTGGCTGGGCCATGCCCATGCTCTCTCCTGCCCAGCGCTGCCTGTTCCCCACGGCTCTCATGAGTCTTCCCCAAGGAGTCCTGTTTAAAGCTTTGCTCCCTTCTCTTCATCCTGTGTTGGTGACATCCCACTGCTCCACACAGCCCCCTCCCTTCAGACAGGGCGCGGACTGAACTTCTCCCCGATCCAGCAAACCCAGTGTCCCCAGATACTATTCCTTCAATCGATTGTCATTGAATCCCAGGGACCCCCATTGCCCCTGGTCTGGTGGAGACGTGACCCGGCTCCTGGGGGAGGCTTGGCCTGAGGGGCTTTGCCTGGCACAGCCCCTGTGTAATAACAGCTCTCAAAGTCCCAATCCATCCATTGTGCAGAGACTCCCCAACCAGCCACCGTGGCACGGGTGGGAAGGGATATGAGGGGATGGGGGAAGAGAGGAACGGGGGGCGTACGGAGCTCCAGACACAGGAGGAGAATGGGGGACCCTGGCATGGGGGGCTGCTGGGGAAATGAGGGGGGAGACACACACAGCCTGTGGCATGCGGGTTACAGCCCCACCTGTGGGTACAGCCCATCTGTACAGCGCAGGTACTAGTGGGTCAAAGCCCTGGGAGCAGCCGCACTGAGCAGCCCCCAAAGGAGATGGCAGCCGGAGTCTGATGTGTTCCCATCACTCCCGTTACCGATTTCCTGAGAGGGAAATGGGGGCGCCCGGTCGGTGAGCTGGGGAGACCTGGTTCTGTCCCTGGCCCATAGAGGGGGCTGGTTCTGATCCAGCCCCAAGCTGTAGAGGGACTGGCTGGCTGAAAGGGAAGGAAATGGGACACAGGGCCTTTCCCTTCCTGGGGGTGCCAACCCCGATCCAGCCCTAGGGTGGGGGATGGGCTGGCTCAGCAGGGTGGGGAATGGGGCACATGCTCGTTTCCCTCTAGGGGGCACTGTCTCCCATACAGCCCCAGGGTGGGGGACTGGCTCACTCAGGGGGGTGGGGAATGGGACATGGGGCCTTTCCCCTCTAGGTGGTGCTGGCGCTGATCTGGGACTAGGATGGGGGACTGGCTGGCTCAGGGGGGCAGGGAATAGGACCAAGGATCTTTTCCTTATTGGGTTCCATGTGCCAACCACCCCTCCAGCTGCCACATCCCCCTCTCTTCTCCCCAAAATAAGGGGCACAGCCCCAGCCCCCCTACCCCAGCCACAGGGGAGAGACGGGGTTTGTAAATGTAAGCGGACGATTAGCTTATACACTACCCCAGTGAAATTGGCTAGTGAAAGGATCTGAGTCCTCGCTCCTACTCCCTTTACCCAGAGGCTGCCTGACTTTGAGGACTCCCCTTCCACTCTCCTGTGTGGCAGAGTCCTCATAACCCCAACAAGGCTGGGTCCAGGTTTCCTGGGGGACTCAACCCCCAATCTTGTTGTGGTTACTTAGGGCAGGGGCGAGGGTGTCCCCACTCCGGGGGGCTCTCTCTGCTCTGGACACTTCCCTGACCCACAGATCATTACATACAGTTCAAGCAGATACAATTTATTAAATAGCAAGCAATTAAAAAAATAACAAAAAAGGGGAAAGTTTAAAGGAAAACACATAACCCCGCTCTGTGGCCTGGGGATATCCCTGCGACGCTACATAGAATCTGGGAGACACTCTATGATATTGTTGATACCAATA